GAGCCACATTTTAAACACACATTTTAAAACAAAAGACAGGTCACAGTACACAAACCCTAAAAGCCACAGAATCCAGCAACCATTATTCCAGCACAGAACTCCTCATCACAAAAAGAGAGTCTAAACTGCATTTTACAGCCTGCTTGCATCAACAACCAGCACAGCCAATCACAGAATATTTTCTGATTTTAAGAAAAAAAAAGACTTTGAAGCCACCTTTTAAACCCACACATTTTAAAACAACAGAGAGGTCCCAGTACACAAATCTTAGGAGCCACAGAATGCAAAAATACTGTAAATAAATAAATTTTACATTTAAAAATTATGCAGTCTAATTTTCACATTTAATTTTAATTTAATATTACAGTCTACTTTTCACATTTTAAATCCACACTGCAAGACCCATCAGAGCACAGAAACATAATCCCACACCTAGCCCTACCCTCCATCAAGCAGCATAAAAACTCTGTATAATACAGTAAATACTGTACAGTGTACAGTATGTACTCACCCAGAACAGGCAGTCTCTCTGCTTTTTTTAAAAAAAGTCAAAAATCAAAAAAGAAAAGAAAAGAAAAGAAAGAAAGAAAGAACAGACAGTCTGTATAGTATAGTACCAGGCAGTACCAGGCAGTCTGAAGACTCTCTCCCTATCCACTCTCTAATCGCTGGGACGAGCAAGGTAGCAGACAAGCAGCCTCTTCGCTGGCCAACGGTTAACAGAAAGTTCAAATTCGCACTTTCCCTGCCTCCCCTTCATTTTTTTTTAAATTTCGTAACTCCAATCTCCATTTGCAAGTCAAAGCAATATTTTGTGAATGGAGCTTTTTGTTCTCAAAAATTTCGCAACTAGGGATGTTTGTAAGTCAAGGCACCACTGTATCTGCATGAGTTCCTTTCCAATTACAAAAACATTAATTTCAGGAATACTACCAAGCAAGGCTACACTATAATTCCCATCTGGTCTCCAATTAAGCTTTTTTTGTAAAGAGTATGTGCTTATCTACAGATTAATGGTAGCATGTGATCACAGAAAAACAATACCTTGGGGATACTTGATTGCTGTATTAAGGCATAACATAATCAACATACCACAATAACACATTGCTTGGGTGGCTAATATAAGTCAATTCTGTAGTTCTCAATTTTTTATTATCCAGTAGCAGCTGACGAGGAAGATTTCCAGTAAGAAATTATACCCCCCCCCAAAAAATGGGGAGGGGGTGGTTGCCTTCCAATAGAGGAGAAACCAAGCTGTCCATCCATCTGAATGATGGTAGGTTAAAAATGTTCAGTAACTCCAACACAAACATCTTGATATTAGGGATGTCATTTTGTGAGAGGTAGAAGGATTTCACATGGAACTGACATGATGTGCATGGTGAACCACAGACGGTTTTCAGGCTATTATTATGGTACAATGCAGTAAATGAAGTCACAGCCCTCAATTGGAAAAAAAATGATTCCCCCAAAGACATCATCCATATTGAATGGAGTCCATTTGCAAGCCTGGTGAGGACTCTCACATGGAGGTCTTAAAAATGTGAACTGGCCAGAAGAGTTAAATGTGACTGAGCAGGATGTGAGACAGACTATGAAGATGGTTAATTCCAGAAAAGCAGCTGGACCCGACTCAATTCCTGGTCGGGTGGTAAAAGGCTGTGCTGATCAGCTAGCCGGGATATGGACCATAATTTTTAATCAATCCCTGACACTATGTGCAGTTCCTGTCTGTCTCAAGGCTTCCATCATCGTTCCACTGCCTAAAAAGTTGGCTACAAACAGTCCGAATGACTATAGGCTGGTGGCACTAACTTCAATCTTAATGAAGTGCCTTGAGCAGTTAGTTCAGAAATATATTATCTCCTGCCTTCCTGATTCCTTTGATGGGCTTCAGTTTGCTTATAAAGAAAATAGATCAACTGAGGATGCAATTAATACTGTGCTTCATATGGCTTTATCCCACTTGGAAACACAAGGGAATTATGTAAGAATGCTGTTTGCGGACTTTAGTTCTGCTTTTAATACCATTATACCCCACAGATTAATAGTCAAACTTAAAGATCTAGATTTTCCAGATTCTATCTGTCTGTGGATTTTGGATTTTTTAACAATTCGTCTACAAAGGGTTAAACTGAATGACTATATCTCTACTGACAAGATACTCAGCACTGGCACTCCACAAGGTTGTGTCCTCAGTCCACTACTGTTCTCCATTTATTCATCGGATTGCACCAATAACCATCCCAGTAATAGGATTATCAAATTCGCAGACGACACTACACTAGTAGGACTTATTTCCAGGGATGATGAGTCTGCATATCGGGATGAGGTATTACAGCTATCCCGCTGGTGCAAAAAAAAACAATCTTCTATTTAACATCCAAAAAACCAAGGAATTTATAGTGGACTATAGGAAAAAAAGAGCAGACATTCAGCCATTGTATATAGATGGAGTCTGTGTGGAACAGGTGGTTGAATGTAAGTTTCTTGGGACCATCATAACAAATGACCTGACTTGGAGTGCAAACACCGCTGCGTTAAT